AAAATAGAAAAAATTACTGTGTTCATTCATATTGTTCATTCGAAGTAGTTTCCACATTAGCACAATGTCATCATCAGGTCTTGTACAGTAGCTAGTTTAAAATATGGAGTTTTGCAATAATACTCTGAAATACTTCTTTTTTTAAAAACTCTCGACAACCGCTGAAATCAGTTACCCCCCCCTACTGAGGCAATCACACAGCACTCGACATAGCGCCCCTCTCTTCACAATTAAAATATAACTTCCAGATGTACACAGCAAAATTGTCTTTGAAAATTATGGCCACAAGAATATTTATTTAGAAATAAATATGCCTCAGTACACACACTCACAGTCACACACACACACACACACACACACACACACACACACACACATATATATATATATATATATATATATATATATATATATATATATATATATATATAAGCCAATATATGGATATAGATCCGACAGTATGAAGAAAACATACGGAAAAACAAACAAAAAAAATCTAATATGCAATTATGCTGTTTTAATTTATATAGTGTCAACGTCGGATGTTTCGGTCTAGTAGACCATCTTCAGGACATATTCATAAAACATAATTAACATTAGACTATATTTAATTATGTCCATCGTCTTTTCATGTTGAGTTAAATATAGTCTAATGTTAATTATGTTTTATGAATATGTCCTGAAGATGGTCTACTAGATCGAAACGTCCGGCGTTGACATTATATTAACATTAAAACAGCATAATTGTATATTAGGATTTTTTGTTTGTTTTCTCCGTATATTTTTTCTATATATATATATATATATATATATATATATATATATATATATATAGGGAGAGAGAAGTGGAACAGAAAGAGAGAACAATATGCATAGGTAAAAATAATTGCACATAGAGTGTTGTGGAGGATCATGGTCACCTATGCCTTCAAGTTACACGGCACACAATAGAATATATCTTTTTGATAGATACACGTATGTCTCGTTGAATCTACACACAAAAAACATGATTTATATAAATATATTTCGGGTGCCTAAATAAATGCATAATTTAAACTTTACCGGTGATTATGCCTGTATTGATGGACCCTTCCATATATAAAGGACAGATTCTTTAAACAATATATGCAATTAAAAGTTTAAATATAAGGACATTATTTTTATTTTTATTCGGATTTTCTTTAGGCCTTTATCTTAAAAATAAATTTGAAATGCAAGAAAGATATTTAAATTATTTTTTAAAATCGCTTTTAGGTTTTCTTATAACGACCTTGGCGGTACATGGTGTGCGAAAATAGATTATGCCGAATTAAGGACTTAAGGAATTAAGCCGATGTTTAATTAAATAAAATAAATTAATATGGCTTCGTATTTAATTAATTAAAACCCTAAAATGTTGGCGTTTATACTTGAATGTTACGCCCTTTTTTGTAATTTTAGCAAATGCATAGGTTTTAATTAATAAATTCGTATCGATTTCTTGCCCTTGAATAGCATCAGTAACATTTTACAGTGTGCGATGTGTAAATTGTCGCCATTTGATATTTTTAAATTCGTGCATCTGCGTGGTTTGTTTTTGATCTGTCTGCGGCACTGTATAGTACGTGTGAGTTGGGCACCGTCTATGAGGAAAAGATATCCATTACGTAATTGACTCAGCCAGAAATTTAGAAATAATATGTTGTATTGTTTGGCATTCGCGCCGGTATCTTCAATGCGAACATTTCAGAGTGTTTGGGAGTCAATTTGAGGGGATACAGAGAGTTTGGTAAGAGTTAGGTGAGCTTAATGGTGACTAAGAAGATATGACACCACGGAAAACTCACTCTGTTCATTCTGATAAGAAAAAGAAGATCGCGAATCTGTTGATGAAGACATCAGAATGAACACTGAGGCTTACATTAAGTGCTTCGAAGAGGGAGTGCAACACTGGGTCAAAACGGTGGCTTCTAGACGATACTATCTCCGCCAACAGGATTCTGAACTATGCCACACGTGCAAGAGAACCCAGTCATCGCTTTTAGATAGTTTTTGCGATCACATAACCGCTTACACGGCAGATTTTTCCCGCAGTAGGTAGCCATTTGTTTCTGCGGTCGACCACTTGCCATCCATGGTGGTCTGTCTTGCTATTTTTCCATAGTTGGGGCGAGAAGAAGAGGATTCATACCTTTTCCAAGGGTATTAGTACGTAAGTGAATGTAATAGTTTCAACTGGAATTCGAACTCGGCTCTCCGATTCCTGAATTCGTATCCATCCCTCCTGACGATTTTTCTGAATAAAAGTAGTTTTTAGTATTTCAAGATATTTCTATGTAATTTTGCTAATTATATTTTATTAACATGTCAGTGTTATTTTAATTTTTGTGTAATTTAGACGACAATTTGTCAAGGGAACATATCTTAACGTGGAAAATGCGACACTGAAATACGATCAAGAGCTGGATTAACTGAAAATGCAGTCAAAAGCTGAGCAAAGTACGACGAAAGGGACATTTCATTAGAAACAATGAGAAATCTGATGAACTGCTATGTTATAGCAATGACACTGAATGTTGAACAATTTTCCAGCCTATGAGGAGGAAACTGGCAGCAACAGGAATCTTGTTCCCGCCAAAATATTGAGAAATCCATTGCCAGGATGTGTAAGCTAGGAGTAAGTCATAAAGAAAATAGTAACAAAAAAGACCAATTATACTTAGAATCAGACCTCTTAAATTTCTTGGAGCCCTAATGAAGATGAAAGGATTCGAAAACTTAACTGTCACAGGTCATATCCAGAGTAAAATTAACAGAGGAAAACAGACCTGACGGGCATGTGTGAATGAAAGACTGAAGGGGGAGAGGAAATGCTGCTAAGGGCGATAGGAAGTTGTGGAGAGCAACGTCCTAAAATATAAATTAAAAGCAACGTATTTTTCAAAGATGACTGTTATTATTTTTTAGTAAACATGTATTTTTTGAAATTCAATTATTTTCATGAAGCACAATCTCTTATTAGATTTATCATTTATGACTGGCTCTATAGGAGAAAGACTAAATACATGTCTAAAATTCAAAGATATATCTGACATATCCCTAGCATTGCGGAAAAAAAAGTAGTTGCCGTTATGATCTTTTCAAGAAGCCATTATTAATGTTGACAATTTTTTGTCAATTTTGTGAAAGCCTGTAGGAACTTTAAAATACTTTCGTTCAAAAATCACATTTGCGTTGGGGCGCCATTTTCTTTCTGCACTGTAAAAAAAATGAGATATATTTTCTAGATTTATTTCATAGTATCTTGCATATTATTCATGAACATTTTAGATTATTATCACCATTTCGTTCAGTCATATCCTGTATTTAATATTCACGAAGAAAATAAGTACTTACTATAATTAGGTTGAATGATATTTTTAAACTACTCCATTTCTGTCCGCTATATATATATATATATATATATATATATATATATATATATATATATATATATATATATATATATATATGGGCTGTATGTCTTCATTCAAGCATGTATGGTTGAATAATTTAGACATTTGCGTAGGGGCGCCATTTTTCTTTCTACACAGAAAAAAATGAGATATATTTGCTAGATTTATTTCATAGTATATTTCATTTTAATCCTCTTATATTCACGGACATTTTTTAGTGCTGGAAATAAACTGATTGAGAAAGACGCTGTGGCTCTTCTTACACTTTTTATGTTCCCAAGTACTTTGAATCTCATCTCAGATTATCTCCAGGGTTGAATTACTAAGACAAAGAATTAATGCAACTGAGAGTTATAAATTGTTTTTGTGTGCACGTGAAAGCACTCAGTGAATTAAAAAATTACCGCTGTTAAGTAACTTATTAAAAATTGTTTATTACGTGCTTTGAAACATTTTGTTATAATTGTAATTTTTCTCTGCGCATGGAAACGCTCTTTCAATTAAAAGAACAACAACATTATAAGAAAGGTAACTTAATTCTAAAAATATTTATAAAAAATGTAATTACGTGTTTTAAAACATAAATAGCAATAATTTAAATTAAACAAATTATTCAACCATATATATATATATATATATATATATATATATATATATATATATATATATATATATATATATATATATATGTGTGTGTGTGTGTGTGTATAACGAGAGAGACAGACAGATAGAGAGACAGGCAGATAGAGTGAAGGGGAGAGATAAACAGATAATAAAATGAGATAGACAGACAACAAAAATGCGATAGACAGAGAACAAAATGAGATAGATAGCAAGCTAGCTAGCTAGATAGATAGATAGATATGAACGGACTGAGGTAGATAGATAGATAGATAGATAGATAGATAGATAGATAGATAATTATAGAAAACAAATTAAAGACAAAAAGAAAACTATAGACAAGAACAGAATGAGATAAATAGATAAATAGATATTTAGTTAAATAGCAATTACAGAAAATAATGATACATAGATAGATTGACAAGAACAAAACGAAATAGATCATAAATACAGAAAATAATTTTAGTTAGATAGATTGATAGATATATAGACAGACATATAGATAGACAGAAAATTACAAAATTAGATAGATAGATAGATAGATAGATAGATAGATAGATAGATAGATAGATAGATAGAAATTACAGTTAATAATTATAGAGACATAGGTAAGAAAAAATGAGATAGATAAATAAATTGACAGATAGATAGATAGATAGATAGATAGATAGATAGATAGATAGATAGATATGACCATTTATGATCTGTCGTTAATGTCTACCTTCTTTTTCATTTCTTCAATGATTCTTTATCAGCCATATTAGATAGATTGATAGATATTTAGGCAGACATATAGATAGACAGAAAATTACAAAATGAAATAGATAGATAGATAGATAGAAAGAAAGAAAGAAAGAAAGAAATTACAGTTAATAATTATAGACATAGGTAAGAAAAAATGAGATAGATAAATAAATTGACAGACAGACAGATAGACGAACAAAATTAGATAGATAGACAGATAGACAGATAGATAGATAGATAGATAGATAGATATGACCATTTATGATCCGTCGTTAATGTCTACCTTCTTTTTCATTTCTTCAATGATTCTTTATCAGCCATATTAGATAGATTGATAGATATTTAGGCAGACATATAGATAGACAGAAAATTACAAAATGAGATAGATAGATAGATAGATAGATAGATAGATAGATAGATAGATAGAAATTACAGTTAATAATTATAGACATAGGTAAGAAAAAATGAGATAGATAAATAAATTGACAGACAGACAGATAGACGAACAAAATTAGATAGACAGATAGACAGATAGATAGATATGGCCATTTATGATCCGTCGTTAATGTCTACCTTCTTTTTCATTTCTTCAATGATTCTTTATCGGCCATATTTACACCAGCGCCATATTCCCGACAACCTTTATTTTTATTTTTTTTTAAAAAGATGTTATTCTTGTGCTTGTTCTTTTAATCTTTCAATCAAATATGATATTCTATAATTTATCTGTCGCTTGCTTGGGCACTCACTGTTCTGATATCGCAGACATTATGCTTTGGCCACATTTATTTTTATCCTCCTATTTCTTCCCGATTTTTATCGTTATCTTTTTTCTTTCATTAATTGATGCATCGCCGACTTTAGTATTTCTTTTTATTTCTATGAATATTAACTTATAAGCCGATGTTATTTTTATTTATGCTTTTCTATATCCACTCTGAAAATACACGATTTAATTTGCTGTCTGAACAGTATAAACCACACGTATTATGTATCAATAGTAAAATGTATCGATGAAACGTTATAAATAATAATTTATAAAGGTACCTTAATTCATTCTTATTCATAAAAGCGCCTTTCTTTCTTTTCATTTCTTTAAGCTTTTCTCCTTCTCTTTAAAGTTAATTTTTCATTTCTCTTTTTTTTTTTTATCCAATTTTCAACTTTTAATGTTCCATTCAGTTCCATTTTTACGTCTTTTCTTCCTCCCTTTGCGCGAGTGAAGCCTATAAAAACTAACATTAGAGAAAGAGCTCAAATAAGGATGTTAACTGCGAGAGAAGGATGGAGAAACAGAGACAGACAGACAGACAGACGCCAAAGAGTAAAAGATGTAGAGGAACGTAGTAATAAAATAGGTTTACATATTGCAATACATTGAAATTCTTTATTAATAGGAGTGGACTACAGATTGATGATTTATGACAATCATTCGATACAGATTTACAGAATGCGCCAATTACCCCAGGGATTAAACCTTTACCCAAGAAAGATTTCAATGATGGCATTGTTTTGATTATTTTTCCTTTAGTTCAAATTTATTTTCTACATGCTTCAGAACAGATAGGTTCCCTGTGTCAAACACCTCACAACTGTTGCTCAGGCAAAAAAGATGTGCTGTGACAAGGAGGATTGCAGCTACCAAAATTTGTAGCTGGATATTCATATTATTTGGGATACGTTGTCATTTGTGTTTATTTTGATAGGGCTCCACCCCAATTTACAAAAAAAGTTTTTTAACATTTGGCCCATTTTTTTTTTATTTGGACATAAGTGAGTGCAGTAAAACACTTCACCACATTTTTTTTAATAATTTTGAATCTATACCCCACCCCTAATATTAAGAAATAGAAAAAAAAATAGAAATCTATAAGAGAGGAAGTAATACATGTGCAGTCCTTAGTCATTTTTCGTATTTGTGATTCGACCTTTATTAAATAAAAGTAGATAACGAACAAAGATTAGAAAGGATAAGGATAAAAATGGGAAGATACATACAAAAAAATTAGAGTATATCATGTCAGATTGTACTATGTAATTAATGCTATCAAAACAGATCAAAATAATATTAAGCGAGCAAACAATATAGGCAAGGCCAAGCAACAGTAACACAGCAAAAATTTCGCAAACCAAGAATAGTCTTAACACCCAAAATATGAATACAAACCAGCGATCGCAGCTTTCTGAGTCGGATGAGACCGAAAAGTGACCAATTTTATTGGTTAAGAAAATATCCCAGCATGCATCTGTGTGTTCCCTCTATAGATTTGAATTATAGGGGGTGTTTTTGCCGTTATTCCTGCTTAAATGAAATCAACAAATCTCTTATCGGTTATTAAAAGACAGAAAATATTTTTAGATTGAAAATCTTTTAGAGATAATAAGGATTTTAATTATAAGAATCCTACTAATTAACCCATAGTTGGGGGAAGAAGAGGTGCATCCATACTGAGATAGATACATAGATAGATAAATAGATAGATATAGCAAGATTGATATAGATGTTTCGATTATAGAGAGCGTAATAGAGAGAAAGAAAGAGAGAGTTGAAGATAGATAGATAGATAGATAGATAGATAGATAGATAGATAGATAGATAGATGTAGGAAACTGATATACATTGTTCGATTGTAGATTGAAAACATAAGAGAGAGAGAGAGAAAGATAGAGATGAAGATACTGGCAGATAGATAGATAGATAGATAGATAGATAGATAGATAGATAGATAGATAGATGTAGGAAAATGATATACATAGTTCGATTGTAGATTGAAAGCATGAGAGAGAGAGAGAAAGATAGAGATGAAGATATAGATAGATAGATAGATAGATAGATAGATAGATAGATGTAGGAAACTGATATACATTGTTCGATTGTAGATTGAAAACATAAGAGAGAGAGAGAGAAAGATAGAGATGAAGATACTGGCAGATAGATAGATAGATAGATAGATAGATAGATAGATAGATGTAGGAAACTGATATACATAGTTCGATTGTAGATTGAAAGCATGAGAGAGAGAGAGAGAAAGAGAGAAGATGAATAGATAGATAGATAGATAGATAGATAGATAGATAGATAGATAGATAGATAGATAGATAGATAGATGTAGGAAACTGATATACATAGTTCGATTGTAGATTGAAAGCATGAGAGAGAGAGAGAGAAAGATAGAGATGAAGATATAGATAGATAGATAGATAGATAGATAGATGTAGGAAACTGATATACATAGTTCGATTGTAGATTGAAAGCATGAGAGAGAGAGAGAAAGATAGAGATGAAGATATAGATAGATAGATAGATAGATAGATAGATAGATAGATAGATAGATAGATGTAGGAAACTGATATACATAGTTCGATTGTAGATTGAAAGCATGAGAGAGAGAGAGAGAAAGATAGAGATGAAGATATAGATAGATAGATAGATAGATAGATAGATAGATAGATAGATAGATAGATGTAGGAAACTGATATACATAGTTCGATTGTAGATTGAAAGCATGAGAGAGAGAGAGAGAAAGATAGAGATGAAGATATAGATAGATAGATAGATAGATAGATAGATAGATAGATGTAGGAAACTGATATACATAGTTCGATTGTAGATTGAAAGCATGAGAGAGAGAGAGAGAAAGATAGAGATGAAGATATAGATAGATAGATAGATAGATAGATAGATGTAGGAAACTGATATACATAGTTCGATTGTAGATTGAAAGCATGAGAGAGAGAGAGAGAGAGAGAGAGAGAGAGAAAGATAGAGATGAAGATATAGATAGATAGATAGATAGATAGATAGATAGATAGATGTAGGAAACTGATATACATAGTTCGATTGTAGATTGAAAGCATGAGAGAGAGAGAGAGAGAGAGAGAGAGAAAGATAGAGATGAAGATATAGATAGATAGATAGATAGATAGATAGATAGATAGATAGATAGATAGATAGATAGAGATGACTTAAAAAAATTAAAGCCCAACGTAAAACCTGGTATTGCATGCAGAAATTAAAATATAAAAAAAATCCGATATCCAACAGAGAATTCTTTAAAAAATATCCGGATATTAATTTAACTTTCTACCTATAAACCTTTAAGTTGACTATTCCCCAAAACAGCACAGTGACTATTAATGAGTTAATGAGCATTTTGATTGCTTTGATGTCATTGATGTTTGCCAATAACTTTTAGAAATGTCTAAACTGTCATTTGCATGCAATTATTTCTAAGATCAGTTGATAAAAATATCTTGGAGCATGTGAAGCCAATGGGTCATGATGAAGATCGCACTTTTTTCTAATACTGTGGACTGGCGCTACAAAATCACAAAGAAGCGTAGCAAATAACAGAAGCCACATTCTTTGACGTTTCTAAAGAACAACAACGACTAAAATGGATTTCGAAGAGAACATAGTGATGTCATCAATAGGTTGATGTTCCACACTACTTCAAGCAAAAGTTTAGGAAGGTCAAACCCTATCAATGTTGGAAAGAGCGATAACCACTAGTGGACTTGAGAAACCTATTTTCCTGAAACAATTTTTAAGAAACAGATTTTCTAAATTCAAAGTGTTATCATTATTAGAATCGGTTCGGCCAATTAACGCTGAATGTTTCCTTATAAGGAAACCATTAATATTACCATTCCCATTGTTTAGTATTTCTTATTAGCGCCTATTTCCTGTGTCAGCTATCTCCGTATTGAAATATCTTATGTTTAAGGGACACTTTTTTTAGTCATCTCGATTTTCCCTTTTCAACGTTGCCTGCTTCATTTCGCGTCCTGGGTATGACGATAAACTACGTACTCGTCCTGGGTAAGACGATAAACTACGTCCAGCAGAAATGCCCCTAATCAGGGGGTTTTGAGGAGCGTGGAACCACCTCTTAATTGCTGGTGTTCACAGGTCCACCCTGACCCGGGTTGGTAGCACCTGTTCGGGTCCCAGCTAAAAAGTTAACCTCGAAAGTGTGGTATAACATTATGAAAGTATAAAAATAGGCTTTAATATCATAAATACTTAAAAAAATTAATGCCAGCAATAAATTTTTGCAAAAAAATATTACCAACAATGTTTTTAAAAAAAATAATATTACTAGCAATACATTTTCGAAAAAAAAAAATTACCAGCAATACATTTTTTAAGGAAAATAATATTACCAGAAATACATTTTTGACAAAACAAAAATAACCAGCAATAACAATTTTGTCGGCATTAAATAGCGCATTGAGGTTGATATGACGGAAAACAAACCAAATCAAACCAGATCAAATTCTGCATCATTTTAAGTAGGTTTGGTCCCACGCAAATGAATCCCCACTCCCACATTCTAGTAGGTCATTAAAATCATTCCCTCACTTATCTTCACTGATTCCAAAGTATAGCAATTGAATCCTCAACCGTATTTTTGCTTTACGTTGTGGCTCGTTTTATTAGATTATAGCGTAATTGTTTTGTTCCAAACTTATCATCTCCTTTAATCAAATGACCCATTCAATGTAGCCGATGATTTTGAATTTCAGTTTCAATACATTGATTGCCAGCTAGCTCTTTCCATATCCAACCAATGACTTCTAAGGGTGGCACGTAAAAACGCTTGAAGGAATCTATCTCGGGCCATGAATAGATTTAGGTTTGGATTAAATGATTTTTTTTTATGGTTAAGAGTAATTGGCCATGGTTAAATGTAATTTGCTGTAATGCCCAACTCACAGAATTGAGAAAGTTTGCAATAAAAAGAGAGAGAGAAAAAAAAAAAAAAGAACAAATCAAAATAATATTAAGCGAGAAAACAATATTGGCAAGGCCAAGCAACAGTAACACAGCAAAAATTTCGCAAACCAAGAATAGTCTTAACACCCAAAATATAAATACAAACAAGCGATCGCAGCTTTCTGAGTCGGATGAGAGCGAAAAGTGGCCTATTTTATTGGTTAGCAAATATCCCAGCATGCATCTGTGTGTTCCCTCTATAGATTTGACGAGAGGGGGGATGTCTTTGCCGTTACCAACAAATCTCTTACCGTTTATTAAAAGACAGAAAATATTTTTGATCGAAAATCTCTTAGAGATAATAAGGATTTTCTACTAATCAGCCCATTGTTGGAGAAGAACAGGTGGATCCATACTGAGATGGATAGATAAATAGATAGATATAGCAAAATTGATATAGGTACTTCGATTATAGAGAGCGTAATAGAGAGAGAGAGAGAAGATATATATATATATATATATATATATATATATATATAGATAGATAGATAGATAGATAGATAGATAGATATGAGCAGATTGAGATAGATAGATAGATAGATAGATAGATAGATAGATAGATAGATACCATCGATTATAGATAGCGTAATAAAGAGAGAAAGGGAGAGATGAAGAGTCTTAGATAGATAGATAGATAGATAGATAGATAGATAGATATAGCAAAACTGATATACATAGTTCGATTGTAGATTGATACAATAAGAGAGAGAGAGAAAGAGAAAGAAAGCCAGAGAGATAAAAAGACTGATAGATAGATAGATAGATAGATAGATAGATAGATAGATGTAGAATAACTGATATACATAGTTCGATTGTAGATTGGAAGCATAAGAGAGAGAGAGAGAGAGAGAGAGATAAATATAGAGATGAAGATACTGACATATAGATAGATAGATAGATAGATAGATAGATACCATCGATTATATATAGCGTAATAAAGAGAGAAAGAGAGAGATGAAGAGACTTAGATAGATAGATAGATAGATAGATAGATAGATAGATAGATAGATAGATATAGCAAAACTGATATACATAGTTCGATTGTAGATTGATACCATAAGAGAGAGAGACAAAGAGAAAGAAAGCCAGAGAGATAAAAAGACTGATAGAGAGATAGATAGATAGATAGATAGATATGGCAAGACTGATATAGATAGTAGATAAAGATTAACAGAAACAGATTACTCCATTGATAGATCGATAGACAGATGTAGACGTGTGTGATCTTCGTCGTGCAAACGTTGATGTCATTATGATAAAAATAATCATATTACCAGTTTGAGAATTTTATTCCTTTCAATGTCATCGAATTTTATTCGACGATTATTTTAATTTATATTCCAACCCTTCCTCTATCCAGACACCATCTAACCAGTGAAACTACTACAATTGCAGTCAACAGTCAGTTTATCAGTTCCATTATCGATATCTTCCTGATTGCAAGCGTTATAAATAAATAACAATGTTGGAACATTATTAATATGAAATGTTGAACAGCAATAATTGCAAAGTGTGTCTGCTCTGCTGGAATTATGGCGTGATCCGAATAAATCCTTTTCAATAATTTAACAATGTCTGTTATTAAATACAGACACGTTTAATCAGATTGCAAGCAACGAAAAATTATTTTCGCAAGACGCAAGATGTTTTTGGACAACACTTCCGGTTTTATGCGCTGTGTCGTTTAATGACGCGGCGATCATGTCTCTTCTCAACTTCATATCTTTTTGTAGCTCTTAGGAAGATTTTACTTCCTTTTTACCATCCCTTGGAGTCAGTCTTTAGCCATCCACATACACTCACTTGAACAGTATAGATTTCTCTAAAAAGAAAAGGAAATTAAATTATACTTCATATATAGATAGATAGATAGAGAGAGAGAGATAGATAGAAATAGAAATAGTTGAATTGATGTGCGTCTCTGAACCTGGGTATCACGCTATTTGCGATCGTCAGACAAACTGATTAATTTTTAAATTTTGGATTTATATATGACTGCGTATAACGGTGTTTTTATGGTAGTGTGAAGAAAAATTGTCGCCGGAACGCCAATCATACGTACGCAGACATACATACAAGCACGTTCACCAATTGCAGCTCACACAAAAGTAAACATATATAAACAGTGTGGGACTGGGCGTATATGCGCATCATGTGTCTTTGCGTGCATACGTACGCAATTGGTCACTGTATTTAATGTTGGATTGGGTAGCGAAATTATTTCATTAGTCGCAGTGTCAACGCGCAAACTGTTCGTCTATTTTGTTCAGGGAATGATGTTTTCTCGCATTCACACATCTGCTGTCCGTCTGTTCTTTTTTTTAAGAATGGGGTCTGTGTATAACTATGGTAGATATAATGGTCATTATTTTTAATTTTAAATATGTTTTAATGTCGTTTTGTTATTATTTTAAAGCCGGTTATTTGCTTGTTTTTGGTGATTGCGCTTATGTAAATGGTATCTACTTCAATTTATAATACGTATTATCTCTCTGTGTGTATATATATATATATATATATATATATATATATATATATACGCGCATGTGTGTGTGTATTTGTGTGCGGTATATATCATACATATAGTTAACTGCATGACATAAAGGTGAAAAAACTCTTACGTTGAGTGTTTCGTCCTTCGAAGTCACTTTTTCAATCTAATAACAATTTACTAAGCATAGCTTAGATGTTGAGAAGGCTGTTGGTATGTACAGAAATCCCAACTCTTTCCTATTTGATCTAGCGAGTAAAAACTTGCTAACCCTTACACTATACATTAAACTCCTATCATCTTACAAATAATGTTTTTATGGATGTCGATGTTTTATCTATCTATCTATCTATCTATCTATCTATCTCTCTCTCTCTCTATATATATATATATATATATATATATATATATATATATATATATATATATATATGCACACATAGACATACACACGTATATATATATATATATATATATATATATATATATATAGGAATATCTATGACAGAATGGAAAAAATATCCGTGAGACTTTTCATCTTTGAGCAAAAAATTAATAAATTACTCCCTCTGTCTCTCTCTTTTTTATCTCTCTCTCTCTCTTTTCTGTATATATATATATATATATATATATATATATATATAAAAGAGAGAGAGAGATCATATTTGAGCAAAAATTACTAAATTAGTCTCTCTCATTTATTTATCTATCTCTCTATATATATATATATATATATATATATATATATATATATATATATATATATAGATAGATAGATAGATAGATAGATAGATATTCATATCAGTGGTCGAAATACAAAAGAAGACATAAGAAATACTCAAGATATTTAAGAGAAACTTATCGTTATATTAATTATTTTCAAATTCTCGGCGTCAGATGTAACCAGATTAATTCTTCTCTCCAGCAGCACGTCTCGGTCGCGGAGGCACCACATGCGCCCTCTCTCATATTAGCTCTGAGTGTGTCCTATATACTATACGCGTGTCCACTAAAAACATTTATACGCTGACCTAGATAGGAATGTAAGCCTATGCACAAATTGGTAGACTAAAACGTTATCAAGTTTATCAGAATATCACACCTGAGCATCCAGCTTACATTTTTTTTATCTTGGTCAGCCTATGATCTTTTCAGCCGACTCCCGTAGCGTTAAAAAAATTAATCTCTTTTCAAACAGCTTTAAATACACTGTTTTTCTTCTCCTAGACTAGTCGACACACAAGGCAATAAATTCTACTCTTACATTTTAGGTCGACATTTGAACTTGGAACGAGAATATATCTTTTTGCGTAACTCATTAAAAATCTTCTTAATTCAAGTTAGCAACATTATTATTATTCTGTTTATTTCTTAAAATTAATTTACTGTTTTTTTTTGTTTTTTTTTACTTCAGACCCCACTCTCTGTTATTATAATATTTACGGCCATATCATATTGAAATAAGTTAAGCAACGTCGAAGTTGGTCAGAATATAGATGTGTGTCAGCTTGCGAACGCCAGCCGCTGAAAGTTGGGATATGCGGTTGTTGTAAATTATAACGACTTGGAATTGAAAATTGCAGACGAACTGGGAACAACAGCAATTAAGAGCTCCTTCCACACTCTTCAAAATCTTCCGTTCAGAGGACGTGCTTCCGGATGTAGTATATTATCATACGCAAAACGAAACTCAGGTTTGGTGATTACTAATTTCCGTGAACCTCATGTCGTTGGCCCCGGAGAGGGCAGTGTTACGCGAGGCTTACTTGTCCAGTACACGCTACACATGAATGAATACATCGCCAGAATTTAACACGGATATGTGAAACTCAGCGACCATAAAGCCACACTCAGACATGCGACTGATGATGGTGAGACGATGATGGAATAAATCCTCATAAGATAAGGCAATTCAATCATATGTTATTGATATATTCTCAAGATAAGTTGCGCAATAAAAGCTATCATCAAAGTAAGTAATAAATTTATCTTTAATATTGTCGACTTTTAATAATTAAAGCTAATACCTTCTACAGTGGCCATCCGTCCCCGTAACATAAGGTCCGCAACAACAGATATAGTTTTCACCTTCAACCTTGACCCTGATTAATTTAATTCTAATGAAACAATTATTCGAATGAAGGTTCTACCTCATTTAAAGTGCTGCAATGCCTCTAGCATTTACAATGCACCACGATTATTATTCGACATTTTGGTATCAGACTGATTTAGTGTATGCCTGAGTTTAGTTGGTGATACCGTTCGACGTATATACTTCACCTCATATATCTGCAGAATCCAAACCAATTTATTTTATCAACTACCATTTGCTGGGTCTGTCTATATTTTCTGAGATGAGGTATTAATGGAATTTAGAACTCAACCCTTTATTTCGATCACTGGGGTAGACTGTTCTAGTTCCACGTGCCATGTTTGATGGATGTCAGTTATCAGTTATCTCCTGCTAATTTTCCCTCTGAAAGTTCTCCGCTGCCTTAACCAACCTGAAGAAGGCCGGACCGTACAACGGCCGAAACGTTGTGATAAATATGGCGACAAAGATGAGGACAATGGTCCGACTAATGTAAATACTGTACCACTTGCTGGTTATGCACAAAAGGCGTTTTTCGCTCTAGTCCTTTTCATGCGCATGTCGTAACGAAACTTTTGTTCTATCCAAGATGATAGATTATTCTTATTCAATTATCAAAGCTGATTTGATATATTGCATCAATTAAAGCTCATCAGTGTTTATTTGTTAGCTTTGTCCAGCCTGAATCATAGTTAATGCGAGGGGGTGTAGTTCCTGGTCTGCTTCTAGCGTTCTCTTTTGTTATGATCCTTGACAAAATTGTCTTGACTGGATCAGACTTTGATATTTCTCCACTCCACAATTTCTTTTATCTCTCCCCTGCCTTTAGCGAACTACTTGATTCTGCTTTATGCAGAATAAAGCGACCCCGTGTGCATAACCAGCAAGTAGTAGTTGATAAAATAAATTGGTTTGGATTCTGCAAATATATGAGGTGAAGTGTATACGTCGAACGTTAACATCAACTAAACTCAGGCATACACTAAATCAGTCTAATACCAAAATGTCGAATAATAATTGTGGTGCATTGTAAATGTTAGAGGGAAGGGTTTTATTAACAGAGTTTTGGATTAATTATAATTTTGTTTTTGGGTTCATACCCCACCCCCTTCATTTCATATATAAATTGTTATCTATTTTTGTAAAAAAATTGTACAGGATAAAAGTGACAATTGTGCATATGATGAAATGTTTGCGTCATGTATGTTTTAATAGGATCCATTTGCATATGCGGTATTATGCTATATGTTAGACTATGTTGAGAAGGATGGAATCATTTGGTGATTGAATTAATTGTTTGAATGAGTGACTCGTGATTCAGATTAGCAAGGTGTAGAGGAGACATAATGGAGTAATGGATAGCGGCTCGGATTAAGTAATCGGAGATCCGAGTTCAAATCCCAGTGACATTCATTTACGTGCTATTACCCTTGGGAAAGGTTATAATCCTCTTTCACTCACCAACTATGGATAAGTAGCAGGACAGATTGAGTTCTATAACCTTGGATGGGAATTGGTCTACCGCAGAAAGAAATGGCAACCTGCGGGAAAGAAACCTGCTTCGTCAGTCATGTATCGAAAGATACATGATCGCCTAAGCGTGTACCGTGCATGACGCATAACTGACTGACAATAGTTCCTTAATTCCCCTTCAGAACTTTACCAAAAATATAGTTTATATATTTTGCTTGTACTGTTTCTTTATCTGAACATGACTATGAGGCTATTTTGTACTAGTCACATCAGAGATTGGATTCGCACCTGTCAGGTGAGAAAATAAGCTTACCAAACAATTTTAAGAACATGGTGATTATTCTAGGTATTAATATACACATGTATTTTGGGAATATTATTTTCCAAGAGAATCACTGGTTTGTAGAGAAACCGATTATTAGTTGTTGCATGAAAACTTAATATTACGATATGTTGAATCTTTTACATACCCAAGGAAGTGAATCCCCCAGGGAGGGCTTTCCCTCAGGTAGTAACTCTCCTTTGGCTGGGGGCTAGGTTAATTACTCGGCACATGAGTCGTCCCCAAAAGGTAATGTTCCGTGACGGCTTGGGTTTTTTCACGGTGCAAGGGCTTCCTTCACTGAGTCTATCGGAACCGCTTCCAATCACACCGAGAGCTCCAACAACAACTGAAATTAACAAGATACACATCTGCCGCATTTTTGAGATTTCTAGTTCAAGATCCTTGTATTTTGATAGGTCTTGAAGATCTTCAAAGATACATTACTGTTATGGGGTCCTCCCCTTTTTCATATAAGTGGACTCGACCAGAGTGTTACTTGGACTGCAGCCGTTAAATAACCAGGGTCAGTCAGAATACAGAGATTGAGAGTGAGCGAAGACAGAGATTGTGATTGAGTTGGAGGTAAAGTAATAGTGTGAGGTAACCGCTTGTAGAAGTCTCAGTTACAAGCACGTAGACTCTAAGAAAAGTCCTACTTCGAGACTGTATATATATATATATATATATATATATATATATATATATATATATATATATATATATATATATGAAGAAATATAATCTTAAGGTGTGCTATATTTATGGGATAAAGTGCTCGATATCAGAGATAGTGTGTAAATATAAAAGTGAGCATAAAGTCAACACTTAGAGGCGACAGTCTGTTTCATGCTATATGCAATCGTCAGGCCAACGATTGCATATAGCATGAAACAGACTGTCGCCCTATGTTGACTTCTATGTTCACTTTTATATATATATATATATATATATATATATATATATATATATATATATTATTATTGCGACTAACAGCGTTCCTGGATTTACTGACAGTATTACTCATTGTATTATTGTGTAAATACATTTCATTTCGTATCCTTAATTCTTGCATTTGTCATTCTTTGGAGAACGAATTTCATCTCAGAATCCACAACAATTACAATATATTTATTTTTTTGTAGTTGCTGCAACTGCTGATGCATATAAAACTTCGTTGAGACTTGCATGTGTGTCTATTTCATCCAGAATTAATTTGAGTATTGCATTGAAGCATTTAATAGTTTTTTGGTTATGCTTTGTTGGGTTTAAATTTGGGGGTTGTTCTCGTTCCTCCATTTCAATATCTTGTGTCAGACTTATATGTCTTATGATTTCTTCCTTGGCATCTTGTATACTATTCTAGTTTTCTGTAAAACATCTCAGTTCAATGTTTTGTGATCGACAAAGATCACGTCTTTCTAATTATTCTAAATTTTCAGCATTATCTTCTCAGTGATTGGCGCGAACTCAGTTTCTTTATTATAATCAGTGGTTTGAGTATTTTAGTATTTTTTTTTTTTTTTTTGGCTCATTTCTTCTCCCCAATCCTTTTCTTTCGATTCAGCTATCCTGGTTCTGGTTTATTTAATTTCAGAATCTGTCAATCGGTTATTTCTGTTGATGAACCTTCTTACATTGGCTTGGTCATTTTCATCAATGTACTTTCTAGTTGCTCGTCCAAACTTTTCTGTCAAATGCCATGTGTTTGGCGGGTGATGTTTTTCTGAGGTTTGTGAAACGTTTCATAGAATGCAGTCATAACTACTTTGTACTTCCCTGGAGATCTAGTTGGAGAATTCGCAGGGCCATCATTGGATTTATCCTGGTTGTGAGGAACTTAAGATTCATTATCTCTGTCGCAGTTTGTTCCTATCGTATTTTATTATTATTATTATTATTATTATTATCATCATCATCATTTGCTATGGACACACTACCTACCAAGTCTGCGGAAAGACCTAAGGCAGGTCGTGGTGTGTTATTACGGCACATTTCATGTTATTTTTTTTTTTTTTTTTTTTTTATCTCCGATGAAGTTATTAGCGTTACATAGACAAAGTTCTTTTAGTTGTGCTATAT